AAGGAAGAGGGGATTATTGCTATTGATGAGTGCTAGCAGTCTAGTTGGAGTTGCATTAAAACAAGGCAATGAGGGGATAGAGCAGTTTAGATGAGAAAGCAATCAAGATGACACTTCCCAGAGGGAGGAAACAGCATTTTCAGCGATGGCACACAAGTTAATTTTCTCAATAGAAGCTTGCAGTGCTTGTAAGTGCTATCATTTGCAAATACATAAACTATCTTAGATAAATATAATTGTGTGCCAGTGTAGGAAAAACCTTCACAAAACTATGATTGGCCACACTCCAAGGTACACTAACACACAGTAGCAGATGTATGGGAATGAACCTGTCCTTGGTCTGGGTGAGGTTACAGGTTTTAGGTTTGGTTATTTTAAAGCCCAGGGTACAATTATCAATCTCTGAAAACAATTTTATCCTAATTTTATCTTAATTACATTGAGTCTCTTTCTCAGTAGCTGCAATTATGTTTTTCCAAATAATCCCACTGGACATTTCTCAGAGTTACAAAGAGTGCTTCCTTATCAGGGTTGGTGGGAAATAGTGGTAGGAGTGGGAAGGCAGAGATCATATAGGAAAGCACTTTATAAAGAGCTGAATGAAAAAAAAGGCATTGATAATGTAATGGTGTGCGGTCATTATAATATTATTATCATCATCACTTTAGTTTATTTATTGCAGTTGAATTGCTTATGGAGTTTAAATACCAGTAATGGTACCTGCCTAAGGGAGATTAACCCATGAGACTTTTTTTTTTTTTTAAGTAAGGATTACAGAGAAGCTGTTTCCTGGTGATGCAAAAAAAAAAAAAAAAAAAAGGATTGTGGGTCCCTTCCAAAACTGCACTACCTTTAAAAATCTGGTTTCAAAGTAGGCTTTCCAGGGCAGTAGATAATTTGGAGATGCTGCAATTTAGCATTCATTCCTAGGCCTGAATTCCTGTCGTCCCTATAGTGGTTTACGGCACAAATGAAAAATATCTGGAATTAAATTCAGGCTCTTGAGCTGAGATAGCTTGAAGAAAGCCACCAAGGAGGTTGGAAGAAAACACTGCCCTTTCATTTACAAAAAGATGAGGCATCCCCACTGAAGGTGCAGTTCCTTAAATCGGCCCTCCACTTTATCCCTGACAGCTCCGCAAGTACCCACACTGCTCTCCCTCAGGGTCTCCAGGAAGGTCGCCAGCATTTCAGCCTTGCTGTCATGACTGTGGCTCCCTTGGCAGAATATGCAAGCCTTCTTACTGCCATAGAGCTTGGGTATATTTGGCTCGGTAACTATGCTTAGAAGTTGGGTAGAAGGGGTTGTCATGACTGGCTTCTGTTCTGTCTTTTCTGGTAGGATGTGAGTTATCTTGGTTGACACTGAAGAATGACTAGAATGCAGACGTAGTAGGGGTGAGTGAAGGCTATGTATTTGTTTTCATGTTTGCCAAATTTTCCTTTTCTATATTCAAGGAATTTGCAGGTACATAAGAGAAGGTAAAATTTACCATTACAAAAAATTAGAATGACATAGATACGTGTACTATAAACTAATGATTATGCTAGCCAAAGAAAGGAAACATCAGCATTAAACAACTGGTTGAGATTTTATTTCACTTTGGAAAGTAGAAATTCATGGGAAGTGGGCACCTGGGTGGCTCAGTTGGTTGAGCGACTGCCTTCGGCTCAGGTCATGATCCTGGAGTCCCTGGATCGAGTCCCGCATCGGGCTCCCTGTTCAGCAGGGAGTCTGCTTCTCCCTCTGACCCTCCCCCCTCTCATGCTTTCTCTCTCATTCTCTCTCTCTCAAATAAATAAATAAAATCTTAAAAAAAAAAAAGAAATTCATGGGAAGAATTCTAAGGGATGTGTGTGCTACATTACTGGGCTCTTAGAAATGTAAACTCTCAATAGGTGATAGTCATTAGTAATAATTGTAGTTAATATTCATTGGATGCTCATCTTGTCCCAAGCAATGTTCCAGTAACTCTATAATGTCAGGAGTATGAGTCCCATTTTACAGATGAGGAAATGGAGGCATAGGGGAATTTATGGATGTTGTCTAGGTCCATAAAGTAAGCTTAGAACCAGAATTCAATCTCAGCGAGCCTGATTCCAGATCCTCACCTGATAACCTTTCTTACGTTCTATTGCCCACCAACTTGGCATATGAGTTAGCTTTCCTGTGCCTCTTCTCTTTTTCCTGATTTTTCAGGGTATAGTCCTAAGAGAAAGAGGGAATCATCCTTTCTCATGGGTTGCCCATTTTCTGTCCTAGCAGGAGCCCATGCTCCAGGTGGAAAAAGCAACCTACTCACTGAGGAGGTTCTAACCTCTGCAGCCCAGGCTGAGGGTATTTGGAAGAGGTAAGGAGGTTCTAGGCTAATGGGAAATTGGAAATGAAGGGTCTTCTGCTCTCTTCCAAATGTCCCCAAGGGCTCCAGCACAGATTAGCTGGAATAGTTGTCTTGGGGCAGGCTGAAAAAACTTTTTTACTGAGAACAATTAGACACAAATAACTGCCTCACTCCACTATGCCCAGACACACACATTCACACACATGTGCCCATGCACACATGTGCACACACATACACGGTACCTGTTTGAAATTTTATAGTTCAAGCACTAATAAACTGAGATTTGTTGGCATTGTGGCTTCATTGAGTAGTTGAAAATCATGACAGCTCAAATGTTTCTGCCCTTTTTGCACAAGGAAGAAGAGATATAATAGTCTAAGATGTGTAGCAGGAACACTTTCAGCTTTGGCTTCAAATTACCTTATAGAAAAATTTTAGAGAGATACCCATGAAAGTGTAAACTATACGATGTTGGTTATTCAAGTCAAAAAGACTAATGTTCAAGAAGTGTGCCAGAATGTGTTCATATTGATGAAATCAGTCTCTTCCTATAGTAGAAATTAGGAGGTCATGAGTTTTCCAATGTTCTTGCCATGGCTAATCCGATTTTCCTTAAATATTTTAAAGAACCTGATTAATATTCTTTCCAAGTGATATTGATTGGTAGCAGACCCGTGCCTTTGGAAAACAAATTTTATTTATTTTTTAATAGGAGGAAATAACCAGGAGCTGAGTCTGAAGAAAATGTGGGGGATAAAAAAAAAAAAAAAGTGATAAGACTATGGTGAAACACAGGGTGTGGCTATAATAGTAAGATTAAATTTAATTGTGTAAAGTCGTTGCTGTGAAGGCAATTTCCAAAAAAAGCAAATACTACAACAACAAAAATTGCGCAAATGTGTGGCAGCATTGAGTTTGTGGTGTCTTGATCTAAGTAACTCTGCTCAATCTGACAGCAGCCTTGTGTATGTTTGCATTCACTTGAGGGTGTTTACAAGACTCAGTTTCATATTTTATGGTCACATTATATATATATGAATGTATGTGAGTAATGAATCCAGTATAATATCAATTTAATAATAGAAAAATTAATGTTTTAGACAATAATGTTAATGACAAGAAGAAAAACGAAATTAAGTCAGCATTTCTGATTTAGAGATAATTTTACTCTAGAGCCATGTCTTTCTCTTTTGTATCTCATATATAATTCTTCACCTTTAGGGATATTCCAAATGGGTAAGAGTAATGCAATGTTACTTGGAGCAGAAAATTTATGAACTTCTCTTGGTAGCTTGATATATGACTAGCAGGTCTTTTATTTTTTTATAGCACAGGGGGGAAAATGAACATACTTGAAACTTCTTTAATAGGACTTCATTTTTATTTTTGTTACTAGATTCAAAAATTTCAAAGGGATATTCTATAGTTCTGAATCCTAATTGAAAGCTTCACATTTCGTGCTTGTTCCTCTTAGATTCAGTTTTAGGAACCAATGTTGGTTCCCCAGTGACATGGCAGAGAAGAAAGACCTGAGCTAGGAGTTTACAGACTTGGGCAAAGTCCTTTGCTACGTTTGTTATTACTAGATATGTGATTGTTTTGGACACGATAGCCTGCCTTTCTTGGTCTTCATAATCGCATTGTTAAAATGAATGGAATGAACAAGATGTCTGCAAATTCCACTTCAGGTTCTCACCTTCAGTGACTTGGTTTCTCTAAAGTCACAAATTGGGTATTTTGTGGTTTTGATAGCACAGATATCCTAAGACACTGACTTACTTGGCATCTGGCATTAAAGAAAAGAGCCAGCTCAGCAAATCCATTTTGTCTTCCCTCAAAGTTTGAGCTGGTGTAGGGAATGACCTACCCAAGCACTAACACAATCATCATTCTTATGGTGAGGCAACATAACAACTAGCTTGCCTTTTTCTTGGTTGACATACCCAGAAATTATCGTCATTACATGCTTCATGTATTGCTTAATTGATGGACTGTAGTATTTTCGGAGTGGTGAATTTTGCAATACTCCCTTTCTTTTGATGGTTTTAAACCATAGAGTCATTATGGAAAATCAGCTCTCTTCCGTATGTATACATAATTAGCACTGAATTCTCATGCAGATCAATCTGATTATAACTATTCGACATTGAACTAGAGCAATTCAGATCAAAGAGCAGTTCATCATATTCATGGTCATGAAATTGTAAACCATTTACATTTTTTGTTAGGTTACAAAAATATTGTATATAAAACCCGTTTAGAAATCCCTCAGTTCCTAACTTGGCATCCAGAGCTCTTTTCACTGTATCACAAAACTACAAAAATAAAGCAAAATATTTGCTGAGAGTAACTCAGTATAACTCCTCAGATTACCAGAAAATCTTTGCAAATTCAGACACCATGGCACATAAATTGAACTGTTCCTACTCCTGGTTGAAAATGTGTTTCAGGAACGGAACACTGAAGTGGATAAATTGCATATCAATGCTCGGCTTCCAGCAAGCGACTTGAGTGATTTAATGGTAAGTTTAGCTTTGCACACCTCCTATTGAATATTTTAGAAACTCAGCACATTTAGAGGAAGGGCAGTATTGCTTGATAATAGGGAGTCATAACTGACAATGTGCACTGCAGTTGAAGTTTAGGAATATTGGTGTGTGTGTGTGTGTGTGTGTGTGTGTGTGTGTGTTTAGGGGAACTGACCTTGGGATAGAAAGCTCATGGCAAAAAGATGATCTTCAGTAAGATAATCCACACTTTAAAAGTACAAGTTCTACATGAAGACAGATTTATGATCCTAGCAGGTACTCAGGGAAAGCTTGAACTGAAGCTGTTCATGGCTGGGCAAGCCTGGGGAAATGAGAATACACTTTGGCATTTCTTAAAAGAAAGTGTCAAAAGCCTTCAAATATAGTTGTTTTTGGAAGGTTTTTCAAACGTTAGAGGTTTAGGGTTAAGAAGTTCTTTTAATATTTTAGAGTTATAAATGGACTAAACTCCTCGAAATAAGAGTATATTTAATTTATCTTTTGATTTCAGTAAGGAACATCTCTATATATCTATTTATATTTATTATCCTCGCATCTTCCAAAGATGGCCATGAGTAGATTTAGGGTAAAGACAAGGAAGAGAGACAGAGAAGGGAAATGGAACAGGAATGGGAGGAGGAGGAGGAGGAAGGAACATTAAGCAAGAACTTGGCCAATCTGTACAAACTCTTTTTGTCTTGAGTGAGTTTCTTTTATACTTCTCTATGTGATGTTACTATTAAAAATGATATTACGACGAGCTCTGACTATTCTTGTTTCTGTATAAATCAGCAGATAAATCTCTTCCCCCACCCCATTGATTTTCCTAACTAGGAAAGGAAATCCCTGTCTGATTGATAGCAATCTCTTGTTGCAAATTTTCCTCCATATCTCAGATGGGATCCTCTTGGCACTTCCAGCAGAGCTGCAAGGCAAGCTGGCTTCCATATTGTTGAAGTTGGTGAATATAAAAGTTAGCCTACTGGCTTTACTGGTTGAGAATTCCACTTCCTCTTGATGGCATTTATGTCTTCCTGAAGCTTTGCACCTGGAAAACACTGATGGACGACTCACCCAAATGGGAATGACCATTTTTTTCATGAGGCGTATAGCTCTAAATTTGAGTCAAATGATATATAATTTTTGTGAAGGAAAGTGTATCGGTCATCTTTCCCTGGGTTAAGCCACAATAACAAACGACCCTCAAATTTCAGTTCCTTACAAGAATAAAAACGAATTATTTTTTATAGCTCGTGTTCCATATTGGTTGAGGTAAACTCTGGCTCCATCCCTCATCCTCTTCACTTTGGGATCCACGTTGATAGAAGATTCCCATCTGAGAACATGATGAGCCTTGGGTCAGAAGGAAAAGGTGGTGGAACCTCACGATGACTCTCAAAGCATCTGCACCTGTCACTTCCACTGCCATGTCACCTGCCAGAGGCAACCACATGGCCGAATCAGAGAGGAACGTACAATCATCCCATATGCAGACATAGTGAATATTTTGAAGAATAATAAAATCTATCAGAAAGAGTGTGAGGCAAAACTGTTTAGAGTCTTGGTCTCTGCTGGGGGACTAAAATGCCAGTCTGATCCTTGTCTTCCCAGCCTTTCTCATAATTCATAGCTGTATCCTTATGACAATAAAACAGAAAAGCTGAGGAGCAAGACTTGCGGGGAAAATCTTTTGTTGGCACTCAGGGTGCCAAATACACTTCAAAAAAGAAGTGTCATTAGAGACCTTTCAACAATTAGCAAAGGACTCGGTGCTCCAGGAGGCTTTCCTAAATTAGCCCAGAAGTCTCCTACTCACCAGTTTTTTAAAAGAGAGCCCCCTTCTGGGCGCCTGGGTGGCTCAGTTGGTTAAGCGACTGCCTTCGGCTCAGGTCATGATCCTGGAGTCCCGGGATCGAGTCCCGCATCGGGCTCCCTGCTCGGCAGGGAGTCTGCTTCTCCCTCTGACCCTCCTCCCTCTCATGCTCTCTGTCTCTCATTCTCTCTGTCTCAAATAAATAAATAAAATCTTTAAAAAAAAATAATAAAAAAAAAGAGAGCCCCCTTCCACTGTCCTTACCCCATCAGTGAGCCGTTCTCTTTGTGGCAATTTAAAATAATGATGAAAACATGTTTTGCTGCTTGTTTCTCCTATTGGATTAGAAGTTATCTAAGAGCAGAGGTTGCTACACAGCACAGTAAAAGTCATTGCTTAAATGTAAAGTTCCTCAAAATCATAGCAAATCTTAACTTGGCTATTCTGTTCATTTCTCAGAATGAGAAAATAATTTAGTTTCAAGATCCTTTACCACTTAATTTTTTCTTTTTCAAACTACAGAGCAAAGCATAGGCACTATCCATTCATTCATTCATCCATCCATCTATCCATCCAACAAATATTAAATGCCTATTACAGTCCATGCACTAAGTCAGATACTGAGTTGTCATACCAGATGCTCACAGTTTCTGCCCTCGTGAATTTTACCTGTTAGTGGAGTGACACAGACAAATCAAATAACCACACACACATTGTTATAAACTGTGATAAACATTAGGGGAAAAACTTAAAGCATACTTTAAGAACATATAGAGGACTGACTGACTTGGTGTCTTTGTGAAGTCTTCTCTGAGAAAGTGACAGTTGAGCTGACATCTGGAGGAAAAGTGACAGTTAACTACATAAAAAATGAAGACAAAACAATTCAAAGAAGCTGCAAAGGCATGTGCAAAGGCCCTGAGGTAGGAGAAAGGAAAGAAAAGCCAGTTAGGAGAGAGTACAAAAAGCAAAGCAGCTCACAATGTGAGAAGCAGGTGGGGCCAGTTTACTCAGGGACTTTCATTCATTTTAAAGGTTTAGGTCTTTCTTCACTGAAAGGTTTTTAGAAGGGACATGCCAAAATTCAAGTTTTTAGGTTCACTCTGGTTGGCATGTGAAGTGGGTTGGAGAGTGGCAGATGGATGGCAAGATATCAACATAAAATCTTTTGCAGTAACAGAGATAGGAATTTCTGCTCAGTGCAAAACTAGTCCCTCAAAGCTGGATAACACACTATTGATATTCTGGATTCTTAGTTCTAACAATTTTTTAAAAAAATTAGACCCCAGTTTGGCAGGAAAAAATCTAATTTAGGTTAGCTCATGGTTCATGACTTACAACACTATTCAAAATATATCTCTGAGCTAAATAATCTCCACAATACCACAAGTGTAGGCTTATGACCCTCTAGGATCTCAGTGGATGGCCTTCAGGGAATCCATGGAGCTTCTGAAATGCCATGAAAATTATGTGTGCTTATTCTTATATGTTTTTCTAGGGAGAGGGTCTATCAATTTTATCAAATTCATGACCCCAAAGTGATGAAGAAATACTGGTTTACCTTACCACTGGACCAACTCATAGTTACTCTAGCACCTCCATGCAGTCCTGGGAAATATGTCTTGGACTGGTGGAAAAGGTTAGCTGACCGCCAAAAGTTTGAGCTCCTCTTCCCCAGTGCTAAGGGGGTGCTGGGAAGTGGCTGCCCAGTCAGAGACTTTTTATGCCTTTTTACATGGCACCTGTGTGTGAAGTTGGGTATGTATCTGATAGGCCTTTCCCATAATTTTTCCACCTCCTCTAGTGACCTTGGAGGTCATGTTTTGAACCTGACAGCACCACAAGAGGGAAGAATCCTCAACTGCTGAGTCACGGAGTCAGCCAGGAGAGCGGTCCAACTATGAACACCTGCATCGGATTTTAGTGATTAAGAAATTAATTTTTATTATCTTGTGCAATGGAGATTTATGGTTATTTGTTACAGCAGTTAATCCACCTGGCATAGAAAAAAAATAACATCTCATACAGGAAGATACAGTAATATGGGTGTGTTGGCTGGAAAAAAGTCCTCTTTGGATTTCTTCCTGGAATAAAGAAACAGCACCGTCTTGCCGGCCATAGTTTCTTCATGTCATTTTGCAATGTGTAAATTACTCTGAATTCCAATTTCTCATAACCCAGGTCTTGGTTGGATGGGTAGCTACTGTAAATGGCTTTTAGCCACATGAGAACAATTTTAATAAAGTAAAAGAGAAACGTGTTTAGGGGGTAGAGATATCCATTCATTCATTCATTTAACAAATATTTATTGAGTTTCTTTAATGTATTTTATTTTATTTTTTTTAAAGATTTTATTTATTTATTTGACAGAAAGAGACACAGCGAGAGAGGGAACACAAGCAGGGGGAGTGGGAGAGGGAGAAGCAGGCTCCCCGCAGAGCAGGGAGCCCGATGTGGGACTCGATCCCGGGACCCTGGGATCATGACCTGAGCCGAAGGCAGTCGCTCAACCGACTGAGCCACCCAGGCGCCCTCTTTAATGTATTTTAAAATGTACCTGAGATTTGCTTTGATCAGGTATGGTAAGATAAAAGCCACAGAGGTAATTCTTTTTGAAAAAAGCTTTTTGTTTACAATTCACAAGAAGATGAGACACGTTAAGCCATGCAAAGCCACACGGAGCAGCACCAGGGTTGGTCAGGAGGCAGGAGTGAGGGGAAAGCATGAGCAACAGTGTTTATGTTGGTTTTCTCAGGAAGAAATGGGCAAGGCAGGGTAAGCACCTATGCAGGTTTAGGATTAAATAGTTTGAATAATTTTGACAGGCTAGAAGGCTGGTCTCTAGTTGTCTAGTGATTGGCCTTGGGATGATTAAGGGCACAGGATAGAGTCCCAGACCACAGTGCCTGATAGAAGGAGGTGGATGAGAGTATGGATTCCGGAGGGGTTGGCTTGCATATGAAAGCTGTGTTTGCAGGCAAATTGTTTAGTATCTCTAGGAATTAGCGAATCCTGGATGGAGTCCTTCCCGGATGTCAAACCACCGCAAAATATAGGAAATAAAAAAAATGATTAATGTATAAAGTACCAGACATATTTTAAAAAATAAGGCACCAGGGTCTATGTGAGTAAAATTGACTACATAATTACAAAGACACAGACTTACTAACATTTAATAGACATAATTAGTGTCTTATTATACCATGGAAGTCATTTTTTTTTTTAAGATTTTATTTATTGATTTGACAGAGAGAGACACAGCAAGAGAGGGAACACAAGCAGGGGGAGTGGGAGAAGGAGAAGCAGGCTTCCTGCTGAGCAGGGAGCCCGACTCGGGGCTCGATCCCAGGACCCTGGGATCCTGACCTGAGCCGAAGGCAGACGCTTAATGACTGAGCCACCCAGGCGCCCCACCATGGAAGTCATTTTGACCACTGAACATTTTTACCAAAATTATTCACTTATATATATACGTCGAGTTGTTCAAAATTAGAATAAAGTCATGCGTATTTCAAATTACTAAAAGGAGGTCCATGATTGGGGAGGGTATGTACTATGGTTAGCGCTGTGAATTGTGTAAGACTGATGAATCACAGACCTGTACCCCTGAAACAAATAATACATTATATGTTAATAAAAAAATTAAAAAAAAAATAAATAAAAATAAATAAATAAAAGGAGGTCCATGAAAAATTGTCTAAGTACTTTAGGGTTTAAATTAGACTTTATATTGAAACATGAACCTGGAGTTCAGAGTTTACCTTAGTTCTGGAAGGTAAATACAATTCCCCCTTAAGAAATACCTCAAGTTCCCACACAAGACCCCCCCCCTCCCCAAGAACAGCCTTCTAGAATATAGTCCCATGCCTAAAACTTAGCAGGGGTTCCCCATTGCTTATTGCCAACATTTTCAAACGTCAATAATTTATAGACCACCTTCTCAACTTTTGCTATATTTTTATAACACCCTTTTTAAGGTATTTTCTTAATTGTTTTCTACAGATCAACTCACCATGCTACTATCTATGTTCGCCTCCTCTTAAGCAGTTTTTATAGCTGTATAAAGTGCTCATGTATTTCTGAGTTGCACGCAATAAACATAGAGCTACTAAAAATCTTTAAAACAGAGTTTGTGAACCACGTAACAACACGTTGGTAATGGTCAGCAGTGGCATTGCTACCCCGGGGGAGGTGAGGGGGGGAAATCCCAGCTGGGAGGACAGTTCAGTCCACTGAGCATGCTTTGCAAGGCTCCTCGTCGTAGAGCCCCTGACTCTGCCTTTTCTACCATCCTTTTCATTTGTCTGGGCGTCGGTCATGAGGACTGACCTTAATTTCCTGACAAGTTGTACTTTTCGTTTCCACCCTGCCTGAGCAGGGTCTATGCCTTTAACACTGCCCTCCCCCACCGCAGACAGGCCTTTAGGCTGCCTCTAAGAATCCCCTACAGCTCTGTGCAAAGGCTTCTTTGCAGCCTCTACCTCCTACTCACAGCCTCAACCCTTTGCTGCCTCCAGCTTCGCTATCGCTGGGTTTGTCTTTTCTGCTCCGTCCCTTTAGGATGCCGTGTGGGTGTGATTTTCCACTAGGTTTAATTCTACCTCTATCCCTGAATGCTGCCTTTGGGGGCTCCTTGCTTTCAAACTCTGAACCCCATGAGCCAGTTCTGTCCCATTCCATTCAGTTTTTCATCCTAGGTTCTTAGAACGCCAATCAGAATTAAGATATCACAGACTTGTCCAGTTACCCAAGGGGGAAAACAAGGCTTTTTCCATGGCTCTTCCCTTCGCCTGTCATGCTCTTCCGCTCCTCGGTCTCCTGGTATGCTCCCACTTAGCTCACAAAACTCAGTTCCAGTATCACCACTCCCTAAATGTCTTCCATGCCCTCCTAGGCAGCATTATTTTTTTCCGGTTCTGCTGTGGCATAGAACTCTCTGTAATTGCTGGGATTGTCGGTCTGGATACCTGTCTCTCCTATTTATTTGAGGATATACAAGGCAGGGGATATATTTTAGTTACCTTTAATTCCCCAGCACTTAACACAGTGCTTCGCAGGATATTTATCGAAGGCATGAATAAATTAATAAACTGGAAATATATGAATTAATATGTACTTTGGAGTAGAATTTTGAGATTTAGTTCCTGGATAGGCAATCAGAATGGGAAGAGAAGTGTTCTTACAATAAAATAATGTCAGAAATACTTGTCATTGAGCTTCCCCCCCATCCCCCACTCCGACCCTCTGAGCCCCCACCCCACCCCCACTCCTGAGCACAGGAGACCCATGGGACAGTGAGAACTTTTACTTACATGTCGGAGCAGGAAGTGGCCTCTGACCCAGGGGTGAAATGTCACGTTCACGCCCAATCCCCAGAGATCCACTAAACTAAGTCCTGTGAAGAATTTTGTTAAGACTAAATACTAGGAAAAACACTGAATATTTACACAGTACATTTTTCCCCCGTTTAAGCTGAAGAAAAAAAAAGTAAAAAGGGGGGAAAGCCAAAATTAAATAAGCCAGCTGGTTTAACTTCTCTTTTTACATATTTTCCATTGCAATCCTCTCTTAGTCATAAAGTCTTTCTCAACCACTTTACTGCTTTTCATTTGGCTGAAAATTTTCAGGTTTTTTCTACATTAAAAAAAATACACAATGAAAGGTTGAATGGATTTGACTTTATTCTCTCTTTCCCTTCTCTTCCTCCCCCTTCTACTGAGACACACACACGCACACACACGCACAGAGTCCAACTGTGTTTAGTTAAAACCGGTTTCTGGTAACAGCTACCCAGAAACAGGATCTCTGCTCTTTTTGAGAAATAAAGCCCATCATTCCTGAGGTGCAAAAACTATTCGATGTTACTCCTCACTGCCCCGCATGCCTGTGCCCCACTCCATCCCCGAGTCTGCGCTCAGGCCCAGCTTCAGAAGAACAGCTGCTGAGCAACAATTGTTCCTAACCGAGCCAGTCAATAGACAAGGCCTAATTTTCCTGACCTTTTCCATCTCTGCTCCATCCTCCGAATAGTGTTTTGATTCTGGGCTGTGAGGGGGAAGGGGAGGAGGATAAGGGGAGGCTCCTTTTTCACTTTGTCTTTCTCTGTCCTCAAAAATAAAAGAGAGAAGTGTTCATCGGGAAATTTTGCTTAGTAATTTTGTTCCCAGTCTTAAAAAACAACCAAAAAAAAAAAAAAAAAAAGGTTACATGGTGCGTGTGTGTGTGTGTGTGCGTGTGTGCATGTGTGGATGGGTTTAGCAATTCCATTCTAAGAGGCTGGGTGATTTGCTCAGTGGAGGAGACTGAGGTAGGTCACTCCACCTGGACAAGCTGGCCAACGAGGGGGGCTTTGGACCCTGCTAGCAGTTCAGCATTTCCAAGTAGGGAAAAATAATGTTAATTCTTCCAAAGAATCAAGTAGGCATCCGTATGCTCTGTTCAGCTCTCAGACAAGGACCGCCCAATAATGCCTTTTGCCGTGTGATAATGAGGCATTTCTTTCAACATAGAAGAATGCTCCCAACTCTCTCTCTCTCTTTTTAAAGATTTTATTTATTTGAGAGAGAGAGAGAGAGACAGGCAGAGCCAGAGAGAGCACAAGCAGGGAGGAGAGGGAGAAGCAGGCTCCCGCTGGTCTCTTCTTACCAGGTTGGGGACACTTTATCTTTATGGAGCTCAAATGAAACCCTGGCTTGGTGGCTGCGAACTTGATTCTGGAGACGCCAGTCACCCCAATCATTGCCATCCAAGCTTCCAACAGAGCAGCCTGACGCGGAGGATCCTTTTTTGTTTTTTCCTTGAAAAAGTCAGCAAGTGAGAAGTAAATCAAAGCTTTGAGCTTTGCCTGGGAGGCGGCCCATGTGTGTGAAGCTCAAAGGAATTGCTTCTCTCCCTCTCCCCCTTACTAACAAAAGACCCACTAATCCTGATTCTCTTACACAAAAGCAAAGTGTAAAACCAGCCTAGGGACTGGAAATAAAATGAATAAATGAATGCTGTGGGAGCAGCTGGCTCGTGAACGCCCCCCCAAAGCCCTCGCTGCAACCTCACCCTGAAACCCAATCACCCGGTCTCCGTGGGGGCTGAGGAGGGATTTAGTTTTGCTAAACTAAAGGCAGCGAAGTATATTTAAACAAATAAACGCAATTTTGGCAGAGTAGAGGCATCTTTAGCCAGTAAACGCTTTATGCACCCGCTATCCACCCTCTGTACCCCTGCCATCCTCCGCCAGCTCCCCCCTGCCCCGGCCCCCGCCGGGGGAGTAAAAGCTGCCCCGAGACGTGAGCGCCCACAAACCTGTGAAATCAGAAAAGAATAGGCTGTGCCCCCACTGGACAACCAAATCTTACTTTCCCTTCTGATGAGCCACTGCCCGAGCAAGCCTCGGTATTTTTATTTGCATTTTCTGAAGTCTCGAATGTTGCCTAATAGCTAGAAAGGTTTGCCCTTCAGCACCATTTTCTGAACTCTGCCTCTTGTTGGCTTCACCTTTTCTCAAAGCAAACCCAGTCCAGACTTTCTGGGAAATCGAAGTGCCAGATCTTCAAGGCAGGGTAGAGAAAGAGTTGTATTTGGAGGAGCTACCTCGGCTTTCCCCAGCTGCCTTGGTGTCAGTGTGGGCTGATTCTGCGGGGCCCGGGCTGAGCAGGGGTGAGGAGCGCGGCCAGCTGGTCTCGGCCACGGCCCCCGCTGGGAGTTCGCAGCTGCTGGGGGGTGGGGGTCCTCGGGGGAGACTGATTGGGAATGAGTACGCTTTAGTTAATTCCAACAGCTCGTGAAGTCACATGCCACTCTCACCCAAGGGTCCAGATTCTCCCTCGGAGGGAGAAGTGAGAAGGATCTGCTGAAAGCAGGAAATGCGAATCATGGAAGAGGAAGACCATTCACATGGGATTCGGGCTGCCATCAGGGAAAATACCAGAGAAAGAACCCCTTCTTTTTCCGAGGGCCACTCCCAGCTCCCCGTGGCTCCCAGCCTCCCTTAATTGAGGTCTGAATGGCAGGGTTTCCCGAGGCTGCTGAGTGTGATCACACTTAATTTCAGGCAGCAAAGTCCATTTCAGCCCATCGTTTCACACTGACGGGGTGCATCTGAACAATAGCTGCATTGAGGCTGGTTTTTGAGTGACTCGCCCAGACGCTATGAATGCTACTTGCTCAAAAGCGAATGTGTTTCATAGCTCAGGAACAACCTTTTGCGGACCCCAGAATCACCTCAGGAATCCTGTCAAGTGCAGCTCTGTGAAGAAGCTGGTCTGGAAGGATGATTGTCTCCCAGTTCTTCCTCTCAAGTCTAACTCACTCTCTCTCCACTGGAAAGTTTTACCTCAGCCCAGCATAAACCCTGTCAAAATCCCTGGCTTCTTTTCAATTCCCTGAGACCTAGGCTTCAGAGCCTAACTTGATTTTCTTTGTCTTCCTGGCATCTGACTAATCCTTCTCTGTGTTTCACTGCATTTGTTTTCTCCTCCAGTTCTCTGCATCTGAAGGATTTCCCAAGGTTTGGTTTCTGGTTATCACAGGATGCTTGTGCCCAGTGAAGCCTGACACTCCAGGGGCCCAAGATGGCAGAGCTGTCCCAAGTTTCATGTCAAGACAGAGATGGAACAACTTCCAGAAGAAAACAGGAGGCTATCTTCTCTCAAGCCTCCTTAGGGGCTTCCTAGCCAACTTCTTAAATCTAATTGCTTAGATTTGTGTCCCGTGGCCTAACGGAGATGGGAATGACCATCATTGGCTTAGACTAATTAGAACCCACCTTCTGGATCTGAGAACAACTTCAAGTGAAGCTCATGGCTGAGGGGAGGTAGGGTGATAACTAAGAGAAAATTTCACAAAGAAGGTCAAGGTGGGGAACAGAAGTTGAAAACCCATGGGGCACCTGGGTGGTTCAGTTGGTTAAGTGACTGCCTTCGGCTCAGGTTGGGATTGAGTCCAGCATCAGGCTCCCAGCTTGGTGGGTAGCCTGCTTCTCCCTCTGACCCTCTCCCCTGTCACGCTGTTTCTTTCTCTCTCTCTCAAATAAATAAATAAAATCTAAAAAAAAAAAAAAAAAAGAAGTTGAAAACCCACTGAAAGCAGTTTACTACACTGCTTGTCTTCATCTCTCCTTGGGAACTCATTGACTCTCAAAGTTTTAATTGCCTCTATGCAGACTTCCCTATTTCTGTTTAGGTAGGACCATTCTCTTTACCATTAGGCTTCTTATTTATTACCTCCCTTCCCCAGGCTATGCTAACTTAGTCTCTAAAATCCTGTTGATTCTTCTTTGGGGGGGATCGTTCTCATCCCTTTCCTTCTTTCCATGTACCTAAACAAGCTCTTCTAAACAGGTACCTCTTCTTTCAGTGTTTTCACATTTACACAGACTTCAAACAAACCTTCCAAAACAACACTTCCATCATATCATCCCTTTACTAAGAAAGTCTCTATCTTTATTATCTAAGATTTAATAAAAGCTGCTCAGGCTAATGTTCAAAGTGACCTTCCTCAATCTGATTCCAACCTACCTTTTCAGATATTTCTCCTATTACTTCCATATATGAACACTTAACCACTCATAAAATTCCACAAACACATCTTATACTTAGAGATGAAGTTAGTTTGATTTCACAGTTTGCCCCTTGCTAGCCACACGTATTTAGACACATTACCTTGCTTTTAGGAGGCTTGGATTTTTTATCTGTAAAATAATTTTTAAGTGAGGCATAAATAATAAGAATATTCCTACACTGTTTATTACTTAGGCCTATTTAATAGGAAGGATTATCTCTGTACTTATCAAGTATTGGTCAGTGTGTTATTATCTATTGCTGCATAACAAATACCACAAAAACTTAATGGCTGAAATAATATTTATCTTACAGTTTCTGTAAATCAAGGACCTGGAGGTGATTGGGACTCAAGGTTTCACTTAAATTGTTGGCTGGGACTGAGGTCTCATCCAAAGGCTCAACTGGGGTGGGGGGATCCACTTCCAAGCTCATTCATGTGGTGTTGGCAGGTCTAGATCCCTCATGACATGAGACTCTACACAGGGCTGCCTCATAACGTAACAGTGGTGTTCTCCAAGGTCACTGACCCAAGAGAGAGCATGAGAGAGGACACTCAAAATGAAAGCCACAATTTTTTTTATAACCTATTCATTAGAAGTGAACCAGTAAGTTCAGCCCATAGTAGAAGGCAGGAGATTATATAAGGACATGAATACCAGTAAACAAGAATCATCAGGGGCCATCTTGGAAGGTACCTACCACAGTCAAAGACTCTTGGTTGACAGAGAGTGAACTCAAATTACTTTAAAAAATAGGACATTTATTGGAAGAATACTGAAGTATCTCACAGAGTTGAAAAAAGAAATGCAGAAACAAAGGGTCCCAGGGACTGCATATAGTACATAGTTAATTTTCTCTTGAACATTTTCTTCACATTACTTCTAGAACGTCACAGCCCCCTTGACTTTTCTCCTACTCACCTAGATGGTTCTTCTCAGACTTCTTTGCTCATTTTCCTTTTTCCTGATTTTTAAATGTGAAGGACTTCAGGGATTAGGCTTCACCAAATTACTTCTTTTTTTTAAAGGTATATTTATTTATTTGAGAAAGAGAGAGAGAGAAAGAGAGAGAGAGAGAATAGAGTATGGGAGCAGAAGAGAGGGAGAGAGAAACTCAAGCAGACTCCTCACTGAGTGCACAGAGCCTGAATTGGGGCTCAATCCCACAACCCATGATCACAACCTGAGCTGAAACCAAGAGTCAGATGCTCAACTGTGCCACTTATGTGCCCCCCAAATTACTTCTATTCTCCATCTAAACCTACTCCGTAGGAAATGTCTTATAACCTCATGTTTTAAATGGCATTTATATATGAAATAATTCCTTTATTAAATGGCTACTATAACAAATTCAGAAATATGCTCTGATTAAGCATGATGGACAGTTATTTATAACTGACAGAAGGTCCAAACTGGAATTTCTTTCTTTCTTTCTTTCTTTCTTTCTCTCTTTCTTTCTTTCTTTCTTTCTTTCTTTCTTTCTTTCTTTCTTTCTTTCTTTCTTTCTTTCTTCTTCCTTTTTTTTTTTTTTTAAGATTTTATTTATTTGAGGGCGCCTGGGTGGCTCAGATGGTTAAGCGTCTGCCTTCGGCTCAGGTCATGATCCCAGGATCCTGGGATCGAGTCCCACATCGGGCTTCCTGCTCCTTGGGAGCCTGCTTCTCCCTCTGCCTCTCTCTCTCTGTCTCTGTCTCTCATGAATAAATAAATAAAATCTTTAAAAAAAAAAAAAGATTTTATTTATTTGAGAGAGAACAAGAGAGCACAAGCAGGGGGAGTGGCAGAGGGAGAGGTAGAAGCAGGTTCCCCGCTGAGCAGGGAGCTTGATGTGGGGCTCCATCCCAGGACCCTAGGATCATGACCTGAGCCAAAGGCAGACACTTAACTGACTGAGTTGCCCAGGAGCCCCTCAAACTGGATTTCTTGATCAGTTGACAACACTCCACAGGGAAGGCTCCTTCCCTTTTGTGGTTCTGCTGTCTTCAAAGTATAGCTTCCAGGGTTGTCATATTTGTTTGTAACAAACCAAGAAAAGGTGAAAGTATGAATGATTAGGCACAAGAAGTTTTTATGGCTTAAGCTTGCCATGGCATCCATCATGTTCGTTCATATGCACTGCCTAGAAGTCAGTTGTATGATTAAATTAAATTGTAAAGGTGGTTGGAAATTTTAGTCCAGATATGATCCCAGCAAGAAAAACCGATAAATTTGGGAATTACTCTCTAATCACACTCATAAATTTTTACCTTTTACCTCTTGTCCCAGCCTTTCTCTCTCCTTTCAAGTCCTGACTTACTTATCCACTGACCTACTTGTCATCTGCCCAGGTAACATCCCATAAGCAATGTGACGAGAAAGGACAAGCAATCTCTCTTTTGGAGTTTCAGTCTCAAATATCCCAGGGAAGATTCTTACTGGCCCTGATTGGATCACCTGACCTCCTACTTGGATCTATCACCATGGCCAGAAAAATGGAATGTACTGATTGGCCTTGCCCACTCTGTGACCAAGAAGACTGAAACTCACCACAGAATCAGAGATGGCCACTGGAAGAATTTCTGTAAGTTGGGCGGAAGCCACAATTTGTGCCTTTTTCATGAGTTCTGATGCTGATGTAAAGCACAGAAGTTGAGGTAAATACTGCTGAAGCCGGACTTTAACTCATCAAGATCATAGGGCTTGTGTGATACCATATAGCAAACACTGTGACATTAATTCTATTCATTCATTCATTCATTCATTCATTCACTCATTCATTTCAGTGTTTATTAAGGCCCTGATACATACAAGGCCCTGTCTGAGATGGGTTGGAGTACTATTATTTGTGGGGAACATGGTAGGCACTCAGAAACTACAACTGAATCACTGTCATATTGCTGTGAATCAGAGATTCTTTTTCTCTGGGCAAGAAATTGTCTAGCTTGATTTCACCTTAGCTCCATGACTCAGTCTAATTTGTGTCATCACTGGAATCACTCTTTTAGGGGTTTCTGCTGGTTATTCTTAGATTCCACTATTAGGAAGATAAACTAAGATTCTTGTTAATATGGGAATTAAAATAAAATCATGTAGTGTTTACTGGCTCTTTATCAATGAAGATTGCTGAGGATAATCTTATTTCCAGCCTACTTCCTCTAAAAGAGTGATGAATAAGCTGCACTTATTTATAATTGTTTGAAGCAGTATCTACTATATCTCAACATTGCCAACACCCCCAGAGGAGGTAATCTAGGAGGTGGATGGATTAGGGGTCTGGATCTCAAATTGATTGCAAATTGATCCACCCTTCTCTATTTCCCTTTCAGCTGCAGGCATTGAACTAATTAGATAAAGCATTCATGTTCTCCTTTCCA